CTTCTCCAGTGGACCACACTGTGCGGGCACAGGAGGGCCGAGAGGAGGTACTCCACATTCAAGGTCAGGAGGGGTGGCCGTGAGGAGATACCCCTTGTCCAAGGTAAGGAGCAGTGGCTGCGCTTTGCTGGAGCAGCCGTAAAGAGATACCCCACGTCCAAGGTAAGAGTAAAACTAAGCCTGATTGATAGGGGAATACAAAAAAACTAGCTCTCTTGCCACAAGAGGACACAACTCAAGTGATGCCAGTATTAGTTTTTATTTCTGCTATAACAAATGATCACTAACACAGTGGCTTAAAACACAAATTCATTATCTTATAGATGTGGAGGTAAGAAGTCCAACATGGGTCTCACTGAGCTAAAATCAAGGTGTCAGCAGGACTGTGCCTCTTTTTGGAAGCAATGGGGTGGTTTGTTTTCTTGCCTTTGCCAGTTTCAGGAGGGCACCAGTTTTCCTTGGCTCCTGGCCCCCTTCCTCAGTCTTCAAAGCCACAACAGTATCTGCCTGATCATTCTTCTTCCATAGTCACATTACTTTTTCTGATGCTCTTCTGCTTTCTTCCTCTTTTAAGGACTCATGATTGCACTGGGCCCACCAAGATCCACCAAAATAACCTCTTTGAGATCAGTTGACTAGCAACTTTAACTCCATCTGCAACCTTCATTCTTCTCTCATGTAACCTAATGTAGTCACAGGTTCAGGGGATTAGGACATGAACATGTTTGCCTGGGGGCAAGGAGGGGCTGTTATGCTGCCAGCCACAGTGCCCTTCATGCTGCAGAGCTATTTGCAGGATCAGGCTAATGCAGGATTCTGGCTGCAGTCACATAAATGAACATATAGAAGATTGTGTCCTTATTCAACAGTAAACAATATTTGTCATAATATATAAACTTTGTAGAAATTTAATAAATTGGTACTACAAAGATAGGAAAAAGAAAGTATTATAGAGCTAAACCCACATCTACCATAATAGGAAGTCCAAGTCTAGTTATTTACCATTAAAAAAGTCCAAGAAATATGGTTTCAGTAAACACCAGGAGAAACAACTAATGTAGTTGAAACTTCTGTAGGAAAAGAGCCACTAAATGTAAGAAAGGTACTGGAATTAGTCAAATACCACTTGATTTCTTGAACTATTGCATTGTTTTCACAAAAATCACTTAAAAAATAAATTCACTGAACAAAGCAGAAATAACCCCCTAAAATAGCAATAACCTATTGATTCCTGGTTCTAAAAAAACAACTTTTGCTACCTATAAAGTAACATGTATTCATTGTAAACACTTCAGATGACACAAAAATGTTGAAAATACAACATGAAAATCCTGTATACTAACCTCAGGGATAGCCTCTGAAGATCTGTGTGCACACTTACGCTCGCTCACCTGCAGTTTTTTTAAAAAGTGGGTTCATACTTTTTGTTACCTGATTTTATCACTAACAAGTGAATCTTCTAGATCAATTTATATAGCTCTACATTCCTCTTAATAATTGTATAGAATCCTATCATTTGAAATGTACCATTAAAAGTAATAATTTAACAAAAATCAGGAAGCCAGAGGAAACAGGGAGGAGGTGCACTTAAATTTTCCTCTTCTTTACTAACAGGGAGTTGGCAGATATTTTGTAAAGCTGGTAACTTAGGACAGAAAAAGCATATTTAAAGTAATAAAGGCATCTACTAGAAAAACTAAAAACATATTAGCAATCAAAAAGAGGGGAGGGGACAGTGAATGTACACCAAATTCCTTACCTTTCAGAGTGACCATCCAATATGTACTATCCAAACTTGGACCAAAAATAAAAAAATATGTATAAAGAAATTCTCATAGTGGTTGTCTCATAAAAGGGGATGAGGGTGGGCAATTAAATGTTTCTGTTATCATAAATGTATCTATTTTGTGTGCTTAGTTGCTCAGTTGTGTCTGACTCTGTGACCCCATTAAATGTACCTATTATAAAAAGATACTTATAAGTGAAAATAGCTATTTATAAAAGTATATAAACTATGACTCAATTTTGATACAAAGTACACGTGTCCATATGTATGTAGAAAAAAATTCCAAAAGCTATGTACCAAAATACAGATAATCATTTCTAGATACACGTTATCAATGTATTTTTTTGCTATGTATTTTCTATAATAAGCATATTTAAGAAAACATTAAAAATCATCTTTTTTTGTGAGGGAGATTGGGGAGGGCTCTAAGAATACAAAAATAAAAATTAGTCAAAATGGGGAATTCTCTGATAGTCCAGCAGATAGGATTTCACACTTTCACTGCTAAGGGCATGGGTGCAATCATCAGGCAGGGAACTGAGATCCTGCAAGCTGTGTGGTGAGACCAAAAAGAAACAAAACTATCAGTCAAAATGTCCTTATATATCTTCCAAAGTCTAAGCCACAAAATACCTGTATTACACATAGTCAAGTTTTAATAAGTTTTGCAAACAACCTTTATGCCCTCAAACATAAAAACCCCCATTTTAGACAATAGCAGGCCATAGGCTTTTCATTCAGGCTGAGCCCCACCAAGTCATTTCTGATGGAGCTTGATTCAGAACCTTCAGAGGTTTCCTATAGGTTAACACTAACTCTAGAACAGTAATACGCTTTTCACATACTCATTCACAACACTGGCTGGATACCTACTGTGAGCAAAGCATTACACAGGGGTGTGTCACAAGTTATAGATTAATACCACATATGACTGCCTCAAGTAGCATACAACCTTGTGGGATAACAGCACAGACAAGAGGCAGAATAAGGGGCACCAACAGAGAGGAGGCAGTATGAACACTGTAGTATTCTGCATTTGGTATATGAATCAACAATCAAAAAATACTTGGAAATGTATAGGTAAAAATGAGGTGTTCTTTTTCATTTTTCATTCATGTTTGGACTCTGAAAGTAGTTATTGTTACAACTCATTTTCCATTAAATCATATGCCAGGTTCTCCTTTTTTATTACATAACTTTTCATATAGACAATTTTTTCTTAGAGCTTCATCTTTACCTGAAAGAGCAAGATAGACAAACTTGTGATTGTTTGGATTTGGTTGTCTGGCTGACATATCAAAATATGAATAAAATGAACCCTTCATGTGAAGAAAAACTACTGACAATATTTGTTATCAATAATAAAATTCACATTTTCTGGTGAAAACCAAAAAGTTGGATAACTCATGTCTGTCACTGTAAGATTGACATCTAATAAAGACATTCTTGATGGGACTGGAAAAAAAAAAAAGAATATTTAGTCTCCATTTGAGGGCAGTCATTTTTGTGCCCCCCACTTTCCCAATGTATCATATAGAGAAGAGACACTTTATATTTCCAAGATGAACAAACTGAGCCAGCTACTTAAGCTCCCTATAGTAGCCTGCCTCACTCCACCAAATGAAAGGTATCAGGCAGACAGAGCACACAGCAATGCAGCCAAGGTTCCACCTAATGGAGAATACTTTTCCCTTTTAATTTCACAGTAATGAAAAGCTAGGCAAGGAAGAAACAGAGAAAAGCTCAAAGAAGAAAAATTAAGTATTTATAAGCAAAATCACTTCATATTAAGAGAGTCCGAGTTTTATTTAGTGTTTTATCTGAGGCGCTAATGAAAGTAAAAGAAGAAAATAAAGATCAATCCCACATTCAATTTTAAGGAGTCTCATGAGGGTGAAAGGACAAAGACTGGAACAACCTTGAAAATATGAAACACCTTATGTTTATAATACACAAAAAATACTGTAAGGATTTCCTATCAAAAGGAGATAGTCTGAACATCACCAAGTCTTTCCAACCTGAAGACTCCAACACCCATTGTTCTATGCTTTTCCCCAATTCTAGCCTACAACTGTAGCCCACCAGGCTCCTGTCCATGGATTTTTCCAGGCAAGAATACTGGACTGGGTTGCCATTTCCTTCTCCAGGGGATCTTCCTGACCCAGGGATCGAATCCAAGTATCCTTGTGTTTCCTGTGCTGCAGGCAGATTCTTTACCACTGAGACACCTGTGATATTGGTCCTGAGAAACAAGTCAACTGGCCTAGTGTTCAATCAACATAATGCTACCGAAAAACCTGAAAGCCTTAAATCCATACTATACTACTAAGTATTTTAAAGTATTTTTACCTCTTTGTAAAGAAGGGGTCAGTGTATTAATTAGGATTTTTAAAAATGAAAAACGAGATTCACTTGAAGTTAATAAAATCAATCAGTGACCCAACTCTATGTACTCTCAAAATAATTAATTCTATCCAGGCTGCCAGGATAAACAAATGAATAAAAAAAATTTAGAAGTTTACATACAAGAAGGTATTTTTTTACAACTACAGACATCAAAAAAACAAAAAAGAGCTTTAGATATGTAGTATTTTCCTAGAGCATTTCTTGAAACTGTTTACTACAGTTTTAAATAAGAACTGTAGGAAAAAGCAACCTAAAAATTGGTATTAAATTTGCTTAATATCTTTAATAATTCTATTATCTGTAAATCCTTCCACAAAATGTGTTACAGTTCTTCAGTTTACTGCAAACATATCTTTAAAAAAAATGTCAGCCCTACAGTTGAAGCTATAATACAAAGTTTTAATTATTGGCACTATACTAAAAAAGCACAATGGAAAATATTTTATTTAAATAAAATGAGAATAATATTTTACTGGGGAATACATCCAACAATTCATTTTCTCTCCATATCTACATCCAATAGTAGTGTTTTATAGGCAAATTTTAAACAAACACAAATTCTTAAAAAATAATGAAAGCCATGTTTTGCTCAGGGATACTATTATACACATACCATACAGGTTATTTTATAGCAGATACTAGTCTGCTAAATTTCAGATGGCAAAATGCTAAGCAGTGAGTTGGGTATTGTCCAGCTAGTTGTTTCTTGTCATCCTGGAGAATCTGTCAATGTATAATGATGAGACCATCTTGTCACTACGACTTCTCTTCTCAGAGGTGACTTCACTGTGATAGAACATCCATTTTCTTAAGATGCAAGGCCTAGCAAAAAGCCTCCCACAAATCCACTGGATATCACAATGTTCTGTTTGACAAATTCTGTTGCCTGAAATAAAGTTTGAAGAAAAATACTCTGAATTATGCTACAACATATATAAATCTTGAAAACAAGTGAAATAAAACAGACAAAAACAGACAATGCTATTATAACTTGCACTTACATAAAGTCAAATTCATCAAGACAGAAAGTAGAACAGAGGTTACCAAGGGCTGGGGAGACAGGTTAATTATAGGAGTTACTGCTTAATGGTTAAAGAGTTTCTATTTGGAATAATGAAAAAGTTCTGGAAATGGATAGTAGTAATGATTACATGAAAGTGTGAATATATTTAATGCCAGTGAATTGTGCACTTAAAAATAATTAAAATGGTAAATTTTATGTTTTATATATTTTACCATAATAAGAAAAAGATAACAAATTTTAAAAAATACTCTTAATTATTAAATCCAGAGCTGAGTATTATTTTTCAGATGTTTTCCTCAATTCAGTAAATATTCAGCAAATATTCTTGTGTTCCTACTATTGCAGATACCAACCATCAGGCAAGATGCCAGGGTTGTCCGTTACAAATTAAAGGAGCCTAGAGCTCCCAACCAGGCCCAGAAGCTTCTTGCTTCTGAGATAACAGGCATATGGGCAGCAAAATCCTCACAGATGAAAAGAAATCTCCCTACAGTGTGGGCATAAATGGTCCATTCAGCAAATTATTGACACAGATGATTAATAAATTCCCACAGCATGCACAATGATATTTATTAACAATCAGTCCACCTAGCCAGTAGGAAAAAATATACAGGATCAGAAAAATAGCACCTTGATAAAATGTTTAACCCAAATAAAATCATGAAGAAGGAATTAGACAAAACAAGATTGTGAGATACTCTGCCTAGATACTTCAAAAATGTGTCATGAAATTCAGAAAAACAAAAAACAGATGAGGGAACCATTTAAAATTAAAGGAGACTTCAGAGACATGACCACTAAATGCAATATGCAATTCTTAATTGGGGGGGGAGATATAAAAATTTTAACATTAACTGTATATTAAGAAATACTATTGTATCACATTAAGTTTGGGGGATTCATAAGCGTAATTATATAGGAGAATATCCATACTCTTGGAACATATGTACAGAAGTATTAAAGAATAAAAAAACACAATGTCTTAAATAGTTCAGGAATAAAAAGGGTAAATCACACACACACAAAGCAAATGTGAAATGCAAACAATCTGGTGAACAGGTGAAGAGTACTTGGGTATTTACTGTTTTTGTCTGTCAACTTTTCAACTGATATAAAATTTTTCAAAATAGAAGTTGGAGAAAGTAAAAGGACAGAATTAAAATAAAAGCAAAGGAATATTCAATTCAGTTCTAAACAATGTAAGAATAAAACAGACAAAATATACATAAAAACATTAATAAAACTAATATATTAATAAAATAAAATATATACATTTTCAAACTATTCCACCTCAAAAAAAAATAGGTAGCTTTAGTTAACAACTAAAAAAAAAAGAGTGATTTAAATGGTGACTTGATCCCAAATTTTACTTAACACTCTAGACATGACCAGAAACACCAATCTTTTTTTAAAGACCATATTCCCTAGTCGCATTTTCTGCTGAGATCCATTTTAAAAAAAAGGAGCCAAAAATACACATTGTCTTACTTCTTCTATTATGTTATTGATTTCAGGTGCTGCCTTATTTGCTCGTTTCTTAATCTGCCTTTTTGCTTTGTTTACATCTTTTTCCACTCTCTTCCAGTCGATCTGCACATAGCCACTGTGACTGGCAATCTGCAAAAACATAATAAAAATGGTTCATTTTAAACCAATTAGGTTGATAGTACAATATATGAACATGTCCAACTCTTTGCAACCCCATGGACTATAGCTCTCCAGGCTCCTCTGTCCATGGAATTCTCCAGGCAAGAATACTGGAGTAGGTAGCCCTTCCCTTCTCCAGAGGATTTTCCTGATCCAGGGACTGAACCCAGGTCTCCTGCACTGCAAGCAGATTGTTTACCATCTGAGCCACAAGGGAAGCCCCTATATGAACATTTAGATTTCAAGAAATGTATGACACTTAAGTGTAACAAAGCATAATTTATTCACTAATTTATTCATTAATACACACTGAGTGCCGATTCTGTGCCAGGCACTGTTTTAGGCCTCCAAGTTATGGCCAAGAACAAGGAAGACAAAAGTCCCCATCCTCAGAGAGCTTACAGACCATTAGGGAAAACAGACATAAGCATACAAAATTATTTAGAAGTGATGAACACTATGTTAAGAAAAGTACAGTACTTAATGACAAGAGATTCCAAAAATTATATTACAACTATTCTACAATTTGATCAGAATTTTGGGAATTTAAGAATTAGCTAAAAAGGCAGAGACTATTTGTACAGCTAATAAAAAAAAGTACCCTTAATTAAACAGATGATTAATATAAGAGATCAGTAGCCAATCAGTTTTTAGGTCATTAAATAAGCTTGATAAACTCTCTACACTAACTCACTCCAGTCAAATTAAGAATAGTTTTTCTGAAAAAAAAAAAAAGAATACTTTTTCTGGTAACTGCTTTTGAAAGTGGAATATAAAAGAAGATATGCTCTACACAAATTTCATGTCATAAATACTTTTAATAAAACTACAGCTAAATGCCTACTAACCCTAATGTCTGATGTGGTGCTACTGAGACATAGCAAAATCTGAACAGGAACAATAGCATGTGTGTAAGCCAGTACATCCCTTCAAAGAGTACAATCAACATGTAAAGAATCACAAGAGTAGTAAACAACTGTATACCATTATAAATCACTTCTACCAAGTTTATGCTTTCTTTGTAATCTCTTAATGCGTCACTTTAAGTACGAAATAACTCAATTGGTAAAGAATCTGCCTGCAATGCAGAAGACCCTGGTTTGATCCCTGGGTTGGAAAAATCCCCTGGAGAAGGAAAAGGCTACCCACTCCAGTACTCTGGCCTAGAGAATTCCATGGACTGTACAGTCCATGAGGTTGCAAAGAGTCAGACTCGGCTGAGCAACTTTCACTTTCACACATAAAATACTTCAAATTATAAAAATATCTGACTTTATATAAATAGGCTGGGAATCTTAGGTTCCATTTTCACTGTGAATGACTCCAGAGGAGAATCTATCTATCTCCATTTCTTCCTATATTTATTCACCTTATATCAGTTCTAACTTTAGCCTCAGTAAAACAGAGTGATAATCAAAGCAAATGGCAACTGAAAGGTTTTCCTGGCAATACCTTACATGATAATCTGGGTCATAGACCCAGAAGTGATGATGAACCTTAAGGTCCCTCCCATAGACAGCAACTATAAACCCTGGTTAAAACACAAGGGCTCCAGAATAATAAAAGGAAGCAGATTTTAAGAGGAGTTGAAATTTGTAAGACGAGACCAATATAAGATGAGTTGCCCATTTTTTTGGCTTTATCTTGAGGACAAGATACAGTTGCAGGGTGGCTAAAAGCTGAATAGAGAACGTGCCATTTTTCTGGCCTGAAGAAGAGGACAGAGCCCAGGAGAAGAACAGCTGCCAGAAAGGACACAGCTAGAGAAGGGAAGCCCCAAATTCTAGGTGTAAATTCTACCCAAGTCCTGAACCACACATCCATGGGGCATAATGAAGTACTCCAGCTGAGGCTAAAAAAGAAAAAAACTGAGATTTGAGCCACTCTCTACCACAGATGAAATGGAGTTTGCAATTTGAATATAACCAAGTTAACTGCCTACTAAAATCAAAACATTAACAAATTTCAGAGGAATAAAACAGAATCCAGACTCTCCATGACATAACATTCCCAATGCTCAGGGATAAAATCCAAAGTTACCTGATACAATAAAGCAAGAAAATGTGGCCTAGTCTCAAAAGAAAATCAACAGATGCCAACTCTGAGATGACCCATATACTGAAATTATCAGGACTTTGAAGCAGTACTATAATTGTGCTCAATGAGGTAAAGGAAACTGCACTTGTAATCAATGAAAAGATAAGAATTTCATCAGAAACACAGAAAAAAATATAAAAAGAACTAAATGAAAATTCTAGAATTGAAAAATACTTGAAATAAATTCACTGGATAAATGGCAGAAGGTAGATGACACAGAATCAGTGCACTTGAAACTAGATCACTAGAAATTATACAATCTTAAAAAAAAGACTGAAAAGAACAGATGAACAAAACCTCAGAACCTTATCAAAGAGCCTGACATGCATAAGTCAGAGTCATGTTCAGAAGAAAAACAAAGAACAGGAGAAAATATTCAAAGAAATAATGGCCAAAACCTTCCTGAACATAGTTAAAGACATTAACTTACAGAATCCAGCTCAGTGAACTCCAGGTAATGATCTAACACAATTATGAAATAACTATACTCAGATATGTGGGGGTTGGGGCACACAGAAGTTCAATAAATGATAGCTAAATTCCCATATTGCATAATGGGAAGCCAACAGTTAATACCTCAAACTGAAAGACAAAGAAATATCCAATTAATTTGTTTAGGAAAAAGGAAATAAATACCTTAAGAATCAGCTAATAGTTCAAACTGGTTGCCTCAAGAAAGGAAAAATAGGGTGGTAGTGAGGAAGGCAGAGGATTATTCTAATCTGTATTTACCATTACACATGTACTTGACCCTTTGAATTATGGGCATGGACAACTTAAAAAAAAACTGAATTTAAAAGATTTATATACCAACTGTCTATTTTCTAAGATTGGAGTGTGATAAATATATACTGGAAAACACCTGAGCTACTAGAAGAGCTGTAAGTTGTAAGCAAACTAATATTTATCTTTAAATATAAGTAAAGGTAATAAAAATATGGAAGCAAGACTAAATAAAAGGTAATTAGCCTAAAAGCCATTTGTTTCTTTTTTTGTCTTTGTTTCCTTCTATTGAGCTTTCAAGGTTAAGTCATATTGGTGGGAAAAACTGGTTTAATGTGGAGAGGTTCCATCTTCTACTCAGGGACTTCAAACATTACAAGACGGCAATTGCAAAACATGGGTCTGAAGGGGCTGAAATGAACTTCTGATAAATGACATGCAGAGCAGATTGAAATATAATTCTATCTGTGAATATTCTAGGGAACTCTGCTTTGGTAGAGTATCCTTTTCCATCTTTTGAAATTGAGTTTTCAAACTGAGTTTTCAGAACAGCTATAAAATTAACTATCTTGATTCTTGATAGCTATATAAATAACTTAATTCTTGGTTCTATATAAACCGAAGTCAAAAATCAGCTTAAATAAAATTCTTTGTGCAAATACTGGCATACTCATCCAAATGACTAAATTTAGAATATGAATAATTATTTCTTTTTACCTTTTACAAGAGATAAGCAATTACTCTTAATAATACCACCAAGAGAAAAACATATATGTATATAAATTTTTTAAACTGTTTAGTAAACAACTGAAAATCTGTGCTTAATACATATGAATTCAGTCCTTCTGTACATCAGGCAATGACACTGGTTATTACATGATCAATGGCTTAGATGCTGAAGTCAGATTTTGGTTGCTATGACCATGAATCATTTTCAAAACCTGACAGATTTCTGTATCTTCAAAATTGTTGCTAACATGCATTCCCAGAGATTTTTCAATTTTAGGATTTATAATATTTGATCTTCAGGGAATGATATTTTGGGGGAAATATATGCCAAACAGACATGAATGCCAGATAATATCCTGATAAACAACCTCTAAGAGCAAAGCATTTTTGAACCTTATACTCAGAGGACCATAAACAGGACTAAAATTTCAAATCAACTTGCCTCAGATATAGGATTATTAATTATTTTTGAACACCAATTTTCCACTTTCTATATTATTATGGTTTCCTAGTTTTAAAAAACATGTTAGAAATTGCTAACAGCAATTTCCTTCAGGAAGGAAAAATGACTAGGAAACAGGGAAGGAAAGAGACTTTTTGATTTTCATATATTGTGTATGAATGTGTGTGAACTTTAAATATATGTTTTAAATTGTCAGTATGAACAGGTTATGCTGTTGATGAAATGTTTATTTATTAAGCAGAGGCAAGGACTGAAAGCTCTGACATACCTGAAGGAGAAGAAAGCCACCACCTACTGCAGTTGCTGCAAGTTTTCCAACTTTCTGGAACAAAAATCCCGCACACCTTTAGTGGAAGAAATGGCAAAGGATGAAAACAGAAAACAATCAATGATGTACTCAACTCTCTCTCTCTTCTAGTTTTCATTGCTTTCCTAATAAAATCTTAACTTATTTAAAAAATTATTTTTAAAAATTATAATAAAAATTATTAAAAATTTCTTAATAAAATCTTAATCAGTTCTTTTGACCATGTTCCTCACCTGCTCAGAAACCCTCAATGTTTCCTTTCAGTTATACAGACTAGTCAAAACTGCAGTCTAAACTGCCTGAGATGTGCTTCAAAATAAGGGATGAAGAGAAGGGAATTGACAGGGGAAAGACTGGCTACTGAAATGAATGTTGAGTATTCAAGGGTTCATTATACTCTTCCTTCTACAGTTGTATTAAGTTGAAATTCCTCATAACAAAATGCTTAGTTTTGTGGGGCTTTTTTTTTATGTAGTCAAGATATTCCGCACATCTGGCCAGCTCTCACTCTATCCAAACCTTCTGCTCCAATCCAATCAGTTTCCAAACAGGTCATCACTCATGCTCAAGCTATTAATCCCCATTTCTTGGGGTTTCTACCTAGCTCCACCTATCTAATATCTAAAACTTTTCTACCCTTTAAGGTCCAGCAAGAGGTCCACCTTCACGACTATACTTCGGCCCACATTTCTCATGGCTCCCTTATCTATTTCTATCTCTATAGTAAACCTGTTTTGTCTCATCTATCCTGTAAGGATGTTAACCCATATTTCTTTTTTGATTCTCTCCTTCAGTGAGTTCATTATTCCTGTCAGCATTCCAGATCCAATGTGCAAAAGAATCTCAGATTTCCAACTCCAGCCTTCTGTACTGTGTTGAACTGTGTCACCCCTGAAATCTATGACCTTCCTAGAACCTCAGAATGTAACCTTATTTGGAGTAAATTCATTGCAAAAGCAGTTAATTCAGATGAGGTTATACTGGAGTAGGGTGGGCCCCAAATCCAATATGTCACAGAGACACACAGAAGGAAGACAGCCATTTAATGGCAGAAGCAAAATTGAGAAGATTCCCTAGAGAAGGAAATGGCAACCTACTCCAGCATTCTTGCCTGGAAAACCCCGTGGACAAGAGGAGCCTGGTAGACTACAGTCCATGCAGTCGTGAAGAGTTGGACATGACCTTGCAACTGAGCACACACGTCTACAAGTCAAGGAATGTCAGGGATTGCTGGCAACCACCAGAAGATGGGAGAGAAACATGGAACAAATTCTCCCTGAGCCTCCAAGAAAGAACCAACCCTCCTGACCCTTTTCAAACTTCTAGTCTCCAGACCTGTGAGAGAATAAGTTTCTCTCATTTTAAGTTACCTAGCTGTGGTGCTTTGTTATAACAGCCTGAGGAAACTAATACACCATCATAAATGGAATATGTACATTTCCAATTACATGACGAGCTTCTCTTGCCACCCAGAACCACATATTCAAAATGTCCCAAAGCAAACACCATCTTTCCAACCAAACTACCTGTTTGCTAAAGTCCCAATTTCTAAATGATGGCACTATTCTTAAGGCTTCTCACCCCATGCTCATCTCAGACTGCCTTCTTCATCGCCTCTGGGGTCCAACTGATGGCCAATTCTATACACCCGCGTTTCTCCAAAACATTATTTGATTGTCTTCTTTTCATCCTCAAAAGCATCACTACCTTGCTTCCTCTGGCTGATCTTCACACCTCCCATCTCACCTAGCAGCCACCCATCCTGCTGTCAGTTTTAGTTTCTTATTATGATCAAGAACCTATAGCTACCTACAAACATAATTTCCTCAGCTTCCCAATCAAACCCTGAATTGGTCTGAATTGTTAACTAGCTAACATCTTATTAACCATTCCTCCTTAACATATGCCACAGTAGGACATCAGTTTTATACTCTAAAAAAATTGCAAATGTTTATTACACTGAATCTGAAGTCACTGCAACAAATCACCTGAATATTAGAGTCCTATTACACAGCTCCCGGACCAACACCTGGCTATAATCCAAACATATGTGCCCCTCAGTAGGGGGGACAGCAACAGAGACTCAGAAAAGCGAGCTAAGGGGCCAAGCAGCAGCCAGGTCTTAACAGCATCCTGGGGACTGTGCTCCACAAGCATGTCTATCCTTTGCTTGATGGCATGAGAAACTAAAATCAATCTACTAATGTACTGTTCTGTCTCTAGCCTTTCCAAGCAAACTTCTTACAATTATGGGGCTTCTCACGAAGTTTGGCCTACAAGGAGAAAACACACAATGTTTTAATTCTACTGCTCAATTATTTTTTAGTCTCTTTCAAGATGGGGCTTTAGGCCTGGACTCACATTAACCAATCACCCAAGGCACCAGACTGTGAGTTTATTTAAGTAGAAGACCAGGCTCTGAATTGTGGGCATCAAAGTATAACCAGCTTGAGAAGAATCATCTGAATAACCAGGGCTCTGACCAGGCATCTCTCTTAACTGCAGGCTTTTTTCATAAGCAGTACTAATAAGTACACATCATGAATAAATACTGTACCTCTTCATCACACAATCTTCTGAGTGTCTCTACCATAAAATGGCATTTATTTTAAAAAGGCGTTAAAAAAAGGCATAAAAGCGTGCACCATTGTCCCAAGGTGCAAATAAAACACAAATTTAAAAAAACACTTTATACTTATCGAGTTTAAATATGTAAATATTTAAATTAATGAATAAGATGAATTTAACCTAGAATCTAAGAAAAAAAATGATTACTCACAGGTTAAGCACACCCACTAGCTTCAGAAATTCTCTAGGGTCATGAACATTTTCAAAATAAAAGGTCGAACTTCTTTCTGACCCTTGTTATTTGGCTAATCTTTTTAGTCTAAGAATAACAGAATTAGATCTACAGTAGCAATTATATAATCATGTGATCTGAAATGTTAACTGGTGAGGTTAATACTTATTAACCTCTCCCCCTTAATATACTCCACAGTATTATCACTGGGTAATTCCAACAAAGACCCAATGTTCTACAACTCTTCTTCTTCAAAGTATTATCATAATTTAAATTGGCCCACAAAAATTAACAGAACCATCTGTATCATAATCAGTAATTTTTACACTGCTTTGCACAGGGCTGATAATCCTGGAGATTAGTTTTACTGTGGGAGTTCTCACAGGGTTTTCAACTAAACAAGTAAAAATTATTTACATATAATTAACTCTTCTCTTCTATATTTTTCCCTCTTTACCCACTGGCACTGAATCAGACCCACTACATCTGCTAAATCTGAGAAGGGGGAAAACAGGCAAAAAAAAAAAAAAAAATCAAAGGAAGGATGAGGAGGAGGATGATCACCAAAACCCAGCAAAGAGTCTGAGTGTAGATTACACTAATCATATCACCGAGAAAAGTCTCAAGGTACAGCTCCTCTGGGATTAACATTGTAAAACCACTGACTGAGTACTAGTTGGCCCAGATACAAAAGGGCAGCAGTAAGGCTCCCGGTGAAATGTAACAAAAAAAGGATGTTCTCACCAGCCACTCACTCCACCCATTACAATCTGGGTGGCTACCGAGTATTTTTCTACCATAGGTCCGGAACTGTGGCCAAACACTCGATTCCACCAGTGGTGTCTTCTGGCATACTCAGTTAAATCCAACACTTCGTAAGAATCATCATCACTTTCATATTCTTGAAAGCAGGAAACGAAAGCAACACATTTACAGTCAACTGAAAGTTAAAAAAGTCGTGTACATTTTCATCTGTTAAAATTCATTGTTACACTGGCATACACCTAAAAACGCCCAGATGTTGACAGTTTCTTAAACCCAATCCCTGAGATTTAGGGCCTGGAGAGTCAAGGGCCTAGCATCCCCTTCCCAAAGAGCTAGACACAGGCCTTGGGGGCAGGGGCAACGTCAGTTACACAGCTGAGCACAGTTACACCCCTACCCCAAATCTCTGTAGGGGTGGCTCAGTTTCACAGCAGGGTCTCCCCCAATCTCGGCGGGTAGGTCAGTTTCACAGCATGAAGGGTCACCCCCAAATCTCAGGTTCAGGGTCAGTGCAGGGTCCATTTTCATCAGTGGGAGGAAAAGGGGGTCTTCCACTGGCCGAACCGGCTAGAGGCCCAGCAAGAAGAAATGACTTCAAGAGCAAGACTTAAACGTTAGAAGACGGACAGGAAGAGAGGTGAAGGTAAGACAGGTGGGGCTCTGTTGAGGGCGAGGGTCCAAGAAGGGGAGGGGAGGTCTAGTCTAAAAGGGGTGCTCAAAGAGGTTGCCTCAAGAAAACAGAGCCCCCAGGATCCCTGGGACAGAAGGAAGAGGCGAGCCCGAAGCAAGGTCAAGAGTTGTGAGCCGCCTCTAAGATACTACTTCGGGCCCCGGCCGCTCACCTTGGGGAGGGGGGTTCCGGGTCGCCATGATACCGCCGGCGGCCTGTACTGAGGCGGTCCCAACCCGCCCGCCTCTCGCCCCTACTTTAAAAACCGCTCTAGGCCCAGGTGGAAGTCTATGGTCTCTTTTTTATCTCCTCCTCCTCCTTTTCCTCCAGGCGTATAGTCCTGTCCCCGCCCCCTCCTCTAAGCGCAGGGCCTTCCGCGCAAGCGCAGGGCAGAGGGGCGCGAGGAGGGGGGAGGGGGGAGACAGGTTGGATACCAGCCCGCAAGGATTTGTGGGAGTTGTAGTCAGTTGCCCTCCGCAACTCTGGTTTCCCACCCCTTCCCCTCGAGAATTTCCAGAGGCTAACTTTTGGTATTTTGTTTCAAAGGGCCTCAGGGCTGGAGAGGAGGGGGCGTCACATGGTGGTTAAGCGAACACCAGCTTGCTATTTGTAACACTGTACCAGAAAGAGGCTTTTAAAAAGAGATAAGAGAAACCCTCTTTCAAACCACACTTTTCAAGCAGTCAAAGGCTCACTAACAGATGGAAAATTTTTCTAACGCGGTGCTGCTGGGAATTGGAACCTTTTCATTTTCTCCACGCGTTTCCTGCCAGGAACCTGAGGGAGGAAGAGGGAAGCCCAGGAACTGACCTGACACGAGTTACTCAAGAGGACATAATTTTTAAGCATCATATTTAAATCTGACAGAGGAACGAGGATAAGTTCTTCACCCAAGAAGCCTCACGGGATTCTGTTGAATGAGAAACCATGTTGAAAACCAAGCAGCTAACTCAGGTTCACAAACCTGCCCCGAAACTTGTTTTGAACTTACGTTGCACCCGCATTCGCTGTACATTTGAAACAACCCTATCAGTATTCTTATTCTGAGAATATGGAAATGAAGAAAAATAAGAAATCCTGGTAGAAGCTGCTTTACTTAAAATATTAACTTACATAATTGTACTTGGCTTTTCAAGTCCTGGTGCTTTAAATGCAAGGGTTGATGTCTCTCAAGTTCCTCAGCCTGTGCGCCTCAAAATACAATTCTAAGACTGGCTGGAGATATTAATCTTCACTTTGTGTGAGATTACTGTGGTGGGCCATGCGCGGATTGGAAAAGAATTTCCAGCCAAGAGGCTGAATGAGACATGAATAAAGTTTACTAGAGAGGGACACACTATTACAACACATGCCGGCTCGAGGGAGAGCCCAATCCTTTCGCAGGCTAGCAGCCAATTTTTATAGTCTCAAGATAGAAAATTCCTACTAGAAGGATGGTATTAGGTTATTGGTTAGGATGCCATAGGGGCTTCCCTTGTAGCTCAGCTGGTAAAGAATCTGCCCGCAGTGCGGGAGGCCTGGGTTCAATCCCTGGGTTGGGGAGATGCCCTGGAGAAGGGAAAGGCTACCCACGCCAGTATTCTGGCCTGGAGAATTCCATGGACTGTATAGTCCATGGGGTCGCAAAGAGTCCAACACTACTGAGCAACTTTCACTTTCATTTTAGGATGCTGTAGGGTGGGTAATCCAGTAAGTATTTCACCTACTTCGGGGTCAGGGAACTGGCTGGTTTAGAGGCTCAGAGCAACGGTTGCTATGGGCTTTGGTCAGTTCCAGAGATTTTTATTCTGTAACATTGGTACAGGGCTCCACACCTGTGGCCTTGGTATGAAAGTGAAAGTTGCTCAGTCATATCCGACTCTTTGCGACCCCATAGACTATACAGTCCATGGAATTCTCCAGGCCAGAATACTCCAGTGGGTAGCCTTTCCCTTCTCCAGGGCATCTTCCCAACCCAGGGATCGAACCCAGATCTCCCGCATTGCAGGCAGATTCTTTACCAGCTGAGCCAGAAGGGAAGGTACAGTTCAGTTCAGTTCAGTTGCTCAGTGGTGTCCGACTCTTTGCGACCCCGTGAATCGCAGCACGCCAGGCCTCCCTATCCATCACCAACTCCCAGAGTTTACTCAAACCCATGTTCATCAAGTCGGTGATGCAATCCAACCATCTCATCCTCTGTCATCCCCTTCTCCTCCTGCCCCCAATCCCTCCCAGAGGAAGGTATAGGGCTCCACAATTACATGTTTTGGAAACAAAATAATTTTGAGGGACATTATTTGAGAGGTTTTCACTGAAATTTTTTCCAAGAGTTAACACGTTTGAGTTCATACACTACTTCCACCCCATTGCCTCCCCACTCCCAATGAGGTGCTAACAAATAAGAGAAATAGCAAATGATGGGCCACTAAAAGAAGAGAAAGGAAAATTACAAACTGGAAGAGCAAAATTACAAATTGGAAGAGGATTGACTGGGCCAATGACATCCAAACATTTTCACCTACTTCTAGCACTATCTGCCAACTACAGAAAGAAGTCACTTTCCTGTCAAGGCAATGATATTTAGCACCAAATGATTATGGAGAAAAGAGGGAGAAAATGGAAACAAAACGCTGCTCTTAAGATGCCAAAAAATAGACTTTTGAATCCAAAATGCATCCAGAACATGTCCAAAAATGAATTAAAAGCAATCATTTCTGTAGCGCACTTAAGGGTTGAGAAGGAACTACTTTTTAATGCTCTTCCTTTTGTTTTCTTACAGTGATATGCCCTTGCCATTACCTCAACCAAGTTAGGTGTATAATTCAGTTTACTAGTGTGAGTTTTTTCTTTCCCAGTATCAAAAAAGCTGTTATTTTGTTGGCTCGGTGATGAGTGGTTTAATGTGTAAATTGTGTACACAGACTTTAAAAGGTGCTGTGATCCTCCTGATTTTTTTAATTAATTCTCATTTTGAATAGGTTTTTTTTTTCCCAGTCAGCACTAATAAGCATTTTCATTGTGAATACTGGTGTCTTACCTACCCACTGTGACGTGAAAGTGAAAGTCGCTCAGTCCTGTTCTACTATTTGTGACCCCATGGACTATACAGTCCATGGAATTCTCCAGGCCAGAATACTGGAGTGGGTAGCCTTTCCCTTCTCCAGGGGAAATTCCCAACCCAGGGATCAAACCCAGGTCTCCCACACTGCAGCAGGATTCTTCACCAGCTGAGCCACAAGGGAAGCCCAAGAATACTGGAGTGGGTAGCCTATCCTTTCTCCAGGGGATCTTCCCAACCCAGGAATCGAACCAGGGTCTCCTGCATTGCAGGCAGATTCTTTACCAACTGAGCTATCAGGGAAGCCCCTACCCACTGTACTAAAACATAATTCATGTAGCCTCCAGTTTTTCAATGGGTAGAGTTCCAAAAGTTTTTGAGTAACTTATTCAAAATAGAGAACATTTTCTATTTAATCCATAATGAAACTGTAATGAAACTATTCCTTCCTTATCTCTACCTTTCCTCACTGTCTTTGGAAACCTTATTTGTTAAAACATAATTTAGTCAGAATTAAGAAAAGCGAAAAGCAGACAAAAAAGCAAACAGAAGAACAATTCACAGTCCCTGGGCAATCTAACCACCCCATTGGTTACAACTGTTCCCAACATAGTGGAGCCCACTCATCTCACATTCACACACTTAAAATACTCCAAGACTTAGAATCTAAGTGACCTTTCAAAGCACCGAGGTAATCAATTGCTGATGAGAAAAGTGTAGCAAAGTTGATGCTGCATGCACTAGCTTGTTGGAATATAAACAAGTAAAAAGTTTGGTAATGTGTATGCACAATTGTATAGATGCCACTTCATTAATCCCACTAAAAATCAGTGCCAAAGACAATATAAAGAGTTCGTATGCATAAAGATATGTAGGGTTTTCGTTTTGTTTTTCATAATGAAAAGGAGTAGAAACAATAGGGGACAATAGAAAGTGTCCAATAGTAGCTGTACAGTTATAGAAATTAGGGAATGTTATGTTTATAAAGACTGTAATAACAAGAAAATGCTTAAGTGAAAAAACCTGTTTACCAAATTGCACTGACAATTTTAATGCAAGTGAAAGTGAAAGTCTCTCAGTCGTGTGTGACTCTTTGTGATCCCATGGACTATACAGTCCATGGAATTCTTCAGGCCAGAATACTGGAGTGGGTAGTCTTTCCCTTCTCCAGGGGATCTTCCCAACCCAGGGATTGAACCTAGGTCTCCCGCATTGCAGGCAGATTCTTCGCCAGCTGAGCCACAAGGGAAGCCCAATTGCAAGTAATTTATTCAATTTCTGCTAAAAAATGCAGACTTGATAAAATGGAGTAGATTATGTTGCAAACTTGATTCTAGCCTGTTGGCTATTGCTGAACAAAATTCCTGTGCCCCACACACAGTGAGGCCAAACAAACTGAAACATCAGAATTTAGAGCAAAGAAAGTTTTATTGCAGGGCTATGCAAGGAGAGAAGGTGGCTTGTGCTCAAAACCCTCAAACTTCCTGATAGTTTTGATAGAGATAGAAGATAGTTATACAGGTAGTTGTAGAAGTCCCAATGGGATTATAGATAGAGGGGAACATAGAGAACTTTGGAAGACCACTGTAAATTAATGATCCTTCAAGAAAGCTATTGGAATGAAGCTGGCTTGCTTAACTATGGAGTCATAAATAAGAGCATGAGCTATGCCCCAGGTCATTAAGTGAAAGAAAAAATGTTACCACCCTTCTGATGATTTGAATAAGCACTATTATTGTCCTAGTGTGACCTCAAAGGATCAGACACTCTTCTGCCCAATGCGAAGAAGGAGCTAGTGATGTAAGCCTGACGTCTACTTGAAGAATAAGGAAGAAGCAGCCTTTTCCCCCAAACCCACTTTCCTTTGATTATAAAAATATAACCCATTTAATCCTTAGGGTAGAGCCTGCTCCCTGCCCACTTGCATCTCTCAGAAGTGGCCTATATTAATAAATCTACTTCTTACCTATCATTTTGCCTCTCACTGAATTCTTTCTATGCCAAGACAGAAAGAGCCTGAGCCTCAGTAAGTCCAGATACCAGGTGAGTGATTCTAATTAAAAGACTATAGGTTCAAGTCCCAATCTGGGTTTAGACTGGGTTCGACTCCCAATCAGAGGTGCATGGTTTCAGTTTTAGGGGAAAAGTTTTTATAGGCAAAAG